TTATGGAGTGAAACACAAGTTTGAGGCCTACAAAGCAAGATCATGTAGCATGGCCTATGGATTTGATCAATGTTATTCAAAATTCAGTCTTCAACTTGATTCCTTCTACAGAGATCTTGAATCTCTGTAGAACTTTGATCTTTTTCTTACTCTAGTTTTCGAGAAGCATCTTGAATCTCTTAAAAATGTCGAATACTCCGTCCTTTCGTTTTAATCACATAGATCCATAACTTTTGATCAAACTTATCAACAGACAAAACAATATTTGTTTCCACCAATTGTGTGTTCTTCGAATGGACCACATTCATCTGAATGTACCACTTTGAGTATGCAAGATGATCTCATTGGCATAGTCGAAACGAAAGAATTTATGGATTGCTTTCCTACTAAATAAACTTCACAGAGTTTTTTTCCAGGCATCTCAAGACTTGGAATACCAGTAACCATATCTTGAATAATTGGTTGATTAAGTGGTCGAAAGTTCAAATGTCCAAACATCGAATGCCACAACCAACTATCCTTGTGGTCGAACAATTTTCAAACATTGAACTTCTGTCGAATTGATCATTATCTTAAATGTCCTGTTTTTCGACAACAGAGATTTTAAGACCAAATTGTTCTTGGTGTCGAACAATCTCAAAAATCCATCTTTCATGACAACTGAGAATATTTTTTCGACTAGTTGTCCAAAACTTAGCAAGTTGCACTTTATCCTAGGTACATATAGCACATCTTTAATCATAACTTTTCCTCCATTACTCATTTGAAAGACTATGTTGCCAGTACCTTCTTCTTGCAATGAACTATTATCAGCAAGTTTTTTTGTTAAATTGTAATTCATAGTGTCAAAACTATGTGTGTCAAAGGATTTAGAGGTGGATCGAAGCAGGTTGCTCGAAGGAAGCCATTGCCCAGTCGAAGCTTGTGGATCGAAGCAAGCATGAAGATAGACAACATGTCAGCTATCAATCTGGTGAAGAACCTAATACCACATGGTCGAAGAAAATACATCGAAATGAGGTTCTATTATCTCCGAGAGTAGGTAGCAGATGAGAAGATGAATTTAGAACACTGCAGGACTGAGAATCAGATTGCAGACATCATGACGAAGGGAGTGCAGGTCGAAGTATTCAGAAGACTAAGAACCGTGATGAATATAGATTGTTTAGACACAATGAATTAGGTGGTGTGTTATAGTGTCGAAATTATGTGTGTCGAAGGGTTTAGGGATGGATCGAAGCAGGTTGCTCGAAGGAAGTCATTTCCCAGTTGAAGCAAGCTTGCTCTTCTTCGACTTGTCAAAATCTGTCAACCACTCCTTTCGATCAGTCATGTAGTTCGAACAGCCTGAACCAGGTTTTGAATTCAACATGGTTATCTGCAACTGCACACCTTTCTTTATCTGATTTTCCCTTTCGACAGTTTCCTCTTCCTCCTTTCGAGAATTTAGAAGTTCCATCTTCGACCTGATGCTTGAGATCCCAATATGATCCATGGAAACTATATGGGGCATTAAAAGTCCAATTGTACTTATGCAAACTCAAACCCTAGTTTTGAGTCATCGGTGTTTGAGAAGGTATCTTGAGCTGATCAAACCTTGTGCATTCTTGAATCAATAGAGATCTTGTGATAAAATTATTGAGAAATGAGAGGGAAAATTTTGGGGTACAACACCAACATTCTTGTTTAACTCATTTGAATTATGTTTAATCTCTCATTTGTGTTATTTTGTAAGATGACATCAAAATGATCAAGGCATTTGTTTGATTTTGAGCATAACCATATGGTCAAATAATCAATTTACCATGTGAGTGAGTGAGAAATTTACTTACCCCTTTGAGTTTTTTTATAGAATCCATGTTGGTGTTAATTTTAATTTTTTTATGGATTCTAAACTTTTTTCTTGAACCATAACCATGACTTGTAATTTGAGTCTTTACTCTTTCCTAATACGTTTGAGAGCATTCATATTACATGTTTGGCTGTATTCAAGTTAGGGAGAAGGAAATATAGTTTGCTATGCGGTTGAGAAAGAAATAAAAAGTCAAAAAGAAAAGTGACAAAGAAAAGAAATGAAAAAAAAAACAATGAAAAAGACTTGAAAAAAGAAAAAAATAATAGAATAATGGTTGTGTTAATAAGTTCTATGGATTGGTGTAACAATGAGAAAAGAGAAAAAGATGAAGGAAATTTGTGAGTGCTTGAGATTGTGAGAAATGATCACTCTCATTTGTTTAGGCAAGTTTTTGTTTTATTTATCTTGAAAAAACAATTATGTGTTACCCATGCCACATTATAACCCTTAAAGCCCTTATGATTTTTGCTTTTGTACTTTCAACATGAGTTATTTTAGATGAATGTATAATTTGAATTGATGTTGGTATGATTGTTGTGTGTGAGTGGTCCCTCATATTTTTTTCATCCCTTGATGATTTGTGTGTTAGGCATGATTCATTCTTGAACATTTGTTGTTTTAGAACTTCTGACATGTTTTTTGTACTTAGACTTTGTTTCTTATTCATTGTGTCGTTGTAGTTTAGTGGTAAGCATGATTCCTTGCATGTATTTTGATTTGTTTACCACCCATTTAGTTTCCGTTTGTAACTTATTGAGCATGATTCTTTATCGATTACGTTTGTTGATTAATTCTTGTTTGGGCACAAACACATTTAAGTTGGGGAGAGTTTGTTGAGTGCTAAATTGTAGTTATTTTTAGGGTGAATAATTAGCACTCATGGACTTAACTCATTTGCTTTTCGTCAATAAACTTCAACTTTAGTGTATATTTTGTATAATTTATGTTATAATGTATATATTATATATTCATGTAAATATCATTGAGTTTAATTGTTTTTTAATCTCATTTGTGTAGGTGTTCAAGCAATTATATTTAGTCATCGTTAGATAGAGCATTGAATAAGCTTTTCAACGCTTCTGACCGTGCGTAAATCGGAGTTATGATTCTCAAGTTTTGGCAGAAACAAGAGCTGAATTTTTCAATTTTCTATCAGCCTCACCCGAGCTCGCCGGGCGAGCCAGGGGTGGCCCAGAAGTGCGGAAATGCACTGTATAGGTAGTAACAAATGTTATTTTGGTCGCTGGGCGAGTGCAGGATTTCATTTTTTCATAAAAACTCATTTTTCATCATTTTTTAGGTATGGTTTGGGGATTTTTTTTTGCTCTCACTCCATCACCAGACATTCTTTGTGGAGATTAGCTAAAAAACAACAATGGAACTTGCATATGGATGATCCGGAGTTAGATTTCTCATCAATCAGAGCTGAAAACCCGAGAGATGTTTGGTTCTTATTCATTTCTCTCTATGTATTTCTCTATTTGTTGGGTTTTGTTTGTAAGCTTACTCTGAACCTATGTATATTTGTTGATCATGGTGTTGTATAAAGTTTGTTTTACAAATCAATCTTGATGTCTTCCTTAATCATTTTGCTTTATATTTGGATTTATATTGTTATAGACATATATCTCACAATTCTTGATTAGGGGTGAATATCTATTAGTTTCTATATTCTAGAGATAGATTTAGAGCTAATATTCGCTGTGGGTATCGAAACTTAATGCCTCCGTGTTGTTTGAGTTGCACGAGACATCGCCGACACGAATAATACGATTATTCTCGCAACTTTTTGTTAGACATAACCTTTGTTGTGGTACGTCTCATAGGTGTTTCAAAAATGGACACTGATTTGAGAGATACATGATGAATTTGATGAGTATTGTAGGTTGAATACAACTGATCGACAAGTTTAAATTTGTGGCGAGTAGTTTAAATTCATGCCTAATAAGTTTCTCCTATCTGAAGAATGAATTTATTTTCTTATTCATATGTTTTTACTTAAACCATTTTAACCAAGCTCAGAGACGCGTAAACTGTTGAACGACATTTTTTTCCTCATATTGATACTTGTGGAAACGATAAATTTTTTGAAAAAAAAATTCATTTCTTTTGATCTTACCGTTATACTGCAGTTCGAACAGACATCAAACATGCTCGACGAGTCTAGGGTCAATTGTTCAGTGTCGACCAAAGATCTGGGATCTACTGGCCTGTGCCGACCAAATCCGAGACCCACTGATCTGCGCCGATCAAAGGCTCCACTCCATTACTCCTCGTCGGTCAAAGGTTCAATGGCATGAAGTCTATTACGTAGCATACTCTGCCTAAGCCCAAAGTATAAATACTTTCGTAAAAGATTCTAAGATACACAACCTCTAATCTCCTATTTCATTAGTACCGATATCTCTAAATCAAGAAGCATTGTGATCGCAATATTTAATTTGCGGTATCACATCCGCAAAGAGCATTAGAAACTCCGTTCCAACGGAGTTTCCACCATCAGCATTATTTATGATTTCGTAACGTAACCGTTTTAATTCTCTCTAGTTTTTTCTTTAACTTTATCATTTCATTTTTAAGAAATGACTTCTTTTTTTCTTTTTCTTTGTAATATTTTTTTAATGACAAATATTTACAATATATTTACATTTTTGTCAAGAATTATTTTTAGATTTTTTATTCTTTTTATCCCCTTAACGCAACTCTTGCAAATAAGTTTAGCAACTCCTCCCAGACTCCACCTTTTCTCATTTACCGGATTTACAGTTTTTCTTTTTGCGGTTTTCTTTTTCTGTAAAATAATTCAGTATAAAAAATAAGTTTTTTTCTTTTTCTTATTTTTTTAAATGACAAATTTGATGTTCTCACAAATTTTGTTTTTATTTTTATAAATGTTAAAAAAAATTGATCCCTCGAATATTTTTTTGTACAACCCTCTAGCCACTGCTGAATGAAAAGATGTATAAAATAAAGACCAAAACATTGTACGCTATACGAAACTATATTTGTGTGTACAATACATATTTTTGAAAAGCATGTAAGTGAATTTTATTACATATCATATGTAAAAACTGAATGTGAATATGATGATATCAAGAGTTTTTCTAAAGTGATCCACAAAAAAAAGTTGATTACACATGCACATTCAAAACCTATTACTATAAGGTGTTCCATATACAATAAGGTATGGTACACTTCTAATTACACTGTCCATGGGAATTGCAAAGTTAACACCTGATGAAGCTCCAGTCCCTGAAATAAATCCAAACCAAAACATTTTTGAAAGTTAATGCAGTAGACAACAGAAGTTTTTTTTTATTTTTAATCTCAATGCCTAGATTTTGTACTACCTTTCCTTGTGAAGGTGGCTGTGTTTACTCCAATAACATGGCCATGAGAGTCAACCAATGGTCCACCCGAATTTCCTGTTCACATTCACGCAAGCACATAAGATCATATACTAACATAACCAATCTCGATTAACGGTATAGCTTACCTGCATTAATAGCTGCATCTGTTTGAATAGCTCCTTTGATAGCCCCTCCATTGGGAGAAGGTATCTCGCGGCCTAAACCACTGACCACCTGCATAAGACACAACAATTGCATAACAGATTTGGTAAATTAGACGTTTCTATTTGGCATGACTAGATAGAGGTCTTAGCAGATTCAAAGGCTTTCTCATGAAGGTTTTCCATGTTGGATTCAATTTATTAAAAAAGATTCATTACCCCTGTTGTGAGAGTATTCTCATATCCATAAGGATTCCCAATGGCAAAGCAACTCTGCCCAACAAGTAAATTCTTAGATTCACCGAGAAGAACAGGCTTTATTTCATATCCATCAACATCAACCTGCAAACAGACTAAGTGTCATGCATTTCTCTAGTGGCCTATAGTGAAATAAAAAAAGAATGCAAAAATTAGTTACTTCATGACCCGTAATTAATACATGTTATCATTGGGAAGATGATAAATCTTAGTGTCTTTTAACTTTTGCTAGTCTCTGGCGGAGTATACCAAGAGTATTGTAAGAAGTAATGATCTGTTGTCACTATCGTAACTCATAAGATGAGACATACAGAACGGTAGATCCGTATTATGGTCAATAACTCAATATCATATCCAGACCAGTTTAGTCAGAGTTGCGTCGACTAATATGAAATATCCGGTGCTACAACCTATTATCCGAATAGTTACCTAAGGTTAGACAGCTTCTTGGACGGAGCAAGTGAGGTGTAGCATTAGGTGACACGGAAGCCACGCGTGGCGGGTCGTCTTCTCATCATATTAAAAGGGCTCAGGTGGAGGACTCTCCTTGAAAGGAGGAGCTCTAAACCCCCTTTTAGCTCAATTGGTCGTGTCCTGTGGAGACAGCTCCTAACCAAGGTTTCCTCTTAAACTATCTAAGGTCATGAAATAGTAGGGACTTATACCATAAAGCAAATGCCTGCAATTTTATGCCATAAAGATGTCCAATTACTAGGATCTTTCAGTGTGATGAACATCAAATTTGTTTCCATATTCACTTTTAGAACTTTACACTAGTATGGGCAACATAAGGAACTAAACATCTGTTGCATTGTTATCAAGTCGAGAAGCAAATCGTGAACCGGAACCCATTTTACTAATTGTGAATTGAATCTTATAGTGAATCATATAATACATTGTCAATAAAAATACAAGTTAATATATCAGTTATACAAAGGTGACGAAAAATGTGGTTGACTACACTAAGTTTAGGTAGCGATTCATTAGAATGAATAATGAATCAGGATTCAGGAAGCATTTCAATTCTTAATAGATAGATACTAGAGATTCATATTCATAGTGATCAGTTTACTATTGAATCAAGATACTACTGGCATGTATTGTTAGATACTGCTAACCATGATTTCTAGTTTCTTGCATAAATCAACATGCTCCAAAGAAACTTTGCTTGTGCTCAAGTGGAAAACGTAACATTTATGATCAAGAGCATATAGAAAAATCCCACACGAGTAACATAGAAATCAAAATGTTCAGAGAGAAAAATAATCAATTGAAATGTTATACCTTCAGAACAGCTAGATCATATGATGGATCAAAACCAACTATTTTCCCTTCCCTGGAAAATCTATTCCCTTTAGCGTCAACTAGGAAAACCTGCAGATAGAAGTATACACTCCAATATAAAATATATTTCTCCCATCTAAAATAAAAACTTTAACGGAATTAACAGCATAAGGGAAAACCTTACAACGTTGTAAACCACTCGTATCAGTAGCCAGTTTAGCTACAACATGGTAATTGGTAACCTGTCCACCAAAAAATGAAAAACCAAATGACTACTTTCAAAGTTTGAAAATTTAGAAACATGTGCAATAAAAGACTATAGTTACGCTTCCATGAAGCACTGACTTAAACACTGACACTGATACGTAGATATCAACAATAATTGAATAAAATATAAGTGTTTGGATGTAACTACATGTATCAGTGCCGCGTCAATGTCATCTCAGTGCGTGACACCAACACATGTTGGCATCGGACTCAGATCTAATCTAAAGTATCGGTATTTCTTACTATGTGGCCAAATTTATCCCAAATGAAGCCTGAACCGGTGCCTTCCACTTTCGCATCTTCGTCGTGATCGAGCACGGCTATATTAGAAGAGTTCATGGGATCTTTGGTCAATTCAATGTCTTTAATGGAAACAACTGATGGTGAAGTTTCCTGCAATAATCCCAAGTTTAATTTTAAACATCATTCACTTCCTATTCTGAAACCCATAAACCTAATTGCCAAATGTGATGGATAGCAAAAAAAAAATTAAAATTTATTTCCATTTCAATACAGCCCAACGATATATATTAACAAAAAAGAAAAGTGAAAATTGTAGAAAAAGACCTGAAAAAGTTGCACAAGGTGGTCTTCTTGATGTTGAAGTTCATCTTGAAGCTGTTGTGATTGTGATGAAGTGAGATTGAGGAGATTAAGCCATGAGGCAACAACGAGGCTTGAATTGAAGACTATTGCTCGTCGTTTGGTGGTGACAGTAGGTGTAACAGTGGTGGTGGGAAGGGTTTTTGTTGAGGATTGAGTTGTTAGCATTGGTGAGGGAGAGAGGTTCATTCGGAGAGAGAGCATTGTTATGGTTGCGATTATGCCACGGTTTTTTCTTCGGATTCTGATTCATTTGGGAGAAAACTAGATAGCCATTCCTTTTTCTCTATGTTTTTCTCCCTAAATTCTTTTACCAAATTTCACTTACATTATTATATGAATAACCTATATTTAACCATATTTTATCATGGAAACACACTTTACCAATGCTAGTTATAATTTCAATAATAGAAGTGTATATAATTATATACATTTTTATTAATTGAAATTTTAACTAAAATTATTAAAGCAAGACTTCCATGATAAAATCGAAGGTTAAAATGTGTGGAGGATACTTCTCTAATCTCAGTTCTGTTTTTAATATTTTTTTTCATTTTTATCTTGAATTTTTGTTATGGGAAAATATTTTCCATCATCTTTGGAGATTCCCACAAATAATTGTGGATTCACATACATCGAATTTTAACAAAATTTATATATTTTTCTATCAAAACTATGACACTAGTATTTCTTTATTTTTCCTTTTTCTAAAAAAATATTATTTTATATCTTCTTTTTATTAAAAAATAAAAACACATCTTACATCAAAATAACAAAAAAATAAATGCAAACACACTTTAAATTATGAAAACATAACCATTAATTTAGTAATTGAATGAAAAATAGGTTATTAATTAAAATATAATGAAATTAAAGAGTAATTACCATAAGCACAAGGATCAAAAGAGAATGATTGTTGTAATGATAATGAAAACGAAGTAGACGAGGGATGAAAGAGACAAAGAGAATTGAAAAAGAGAATTTCTTAGTATACTCTTATATGAGTGGAAAAAATCTCTGAAAATTCCAAAATACCCCGCGGATATGCATATCCGAACAAACTCCTAAATCAATTTTCAAGATATTTCGGATATGTATATCTGAAAATCCCTTGCTTACACGTTATACTCATTTAAACGTTAGATTTAAACATTCAGTGGTATTTTCATATATGTATATCCGAAAATACCTCTGTTATATAAGTTTGCTTCATGATTACCACTATCACTATTTCATTCCTTTCATTTTCCTCATAACCAAAACCTACCACAAAACATCAATCATTCTCAATCATTTTTCATCTCCAAATCAAGTTTCAAGTGTTTTATCATATCAAAGAGAGCATAGAAAGTTACAATTTAAGGTAAAAATTCCTCATTTTATCTTTCATTTCCTTGCATTTATGGTGAGTTTTGGTTGAAAAAATATTGCCACTTCGAATATGCATATCTGAAACTCACCTAATATATTTCGGACGTACATATCTGAAACTATGTCTGTTACAGAAACAAAATTTTATCTTGAACATATTTTCTATTTTTACTCGTTTTAGATATGGTGCACCCCGACATATTTCCCAAAGCTGTTGTAAATGATTCAGACAAGGTGAATGAGGATGCTAAGTCAGAAAAGTTGAAGGACGACGTTAAAATTACTATTGTCGCGATAGATGTTCAGAAATAATTTACAAATGATTAAATTTTTAGTGCTCGTCAACATATGCTCGAATGAGTCCGAATTAAAGTTAGCAAACTCGGTTTAGCACTGTGATTGGAAGATCCGACAATGGCACTAGTAGAAGGCAAGCATTTGTAACGATAAAATGCGAGAGAAATAGAAAATATATTCCAAAAATTCAGAAGTTAAAACATGAAGACATCGGATCGATAAAATGTGAGTGTCCATTTAAATTGTACGAATATTGTAGAATGGATGATTTGTGGCGGTTTAATGTCATATGTGGTTTACATAATCATGCGTTGGACACGAAGCTACAAAAAGAGTAGGGTGGATGATTTGTGGCAGTTTAATGTCATACTTTCATTGGTTCTGCATATTTCGGATATGCATATCTGGAATAAGCTATCTTCTTTTTAAAAAAACAGAACATGGATTATTTTGGATATTCATATCTGAACGAACCTTCATTTTTAAAAAAACAAAATAAGGGTTATTTCGAATATGCCTATCTAAAACCCCCTAATTTCGTTAAAAAAAAGTTAACTCATATATTTATATTTAAAACATGCACTAGTGGAAAGATAAGATTTCTTGGGTCCAAATTGTTCTATCTCTTCTATAAATAGGATCTCCAAACCATTTCTACAACATCACAAACCACAAATAGAGATGAGTCAAACATATCCTCACCTTACTTTTGTCTACTTCAATGGTAACATGCCGCCACTTCAGTTTTGGGTCTTTGAGGACACGTCTCTCGTCGACCTGATTATCACACTGAATTCTCTCTTACAATATCTAGAAAATTGAAAGGTATTCAAGGTCGAGTATCGTTCACCCTCACTTGACACTGAAGGTAATATAAAGTTCACTAAAATTAATCTGAAGACGGATGAGGATTTAAGGTTATGTGGCGTACTTTTCATCGATACTCCACTAAGGGTCTGATTGAAGTGGATGCGAAGCTTCAAAGATCGATAAAATATGTTATCAAAATGTTACAACGTCCTCAGCTACCAGTTTATAACAACAATATGTAATGTTAAATTTTTGTTCAATTATCTATGTAATTTCGACTATTTATGTTAAATTTATGTTAAGTTGGTTTGATTTTAAGGGTTTTGATTCATTGACCAGTTCTGCATATTTCGGAAACGTATATCCGAAATAAACCTTTGGTGTCTTCGGATATGCATTTTCGAAACTGTATGATAAAAAAATGAAATATGGTAAGTTCGGATATGCATATCCGAATTCTGGGGATATTATGGGAATTTCATCAGGGGCCTCTAAGAAGGTGCAAGAGTGGATTAAGAAATTACCTTGAAAAAATAAGAAGAGAAGACTAATGCACTTTTTTAGGATTAAGTACTTAGGTGGTGAAACAATACATTATACAATGAAACAAAAAAAGATTATCCAACTTTTCATTTCCTAATATATTAATTCTTTTTTATAAAAAAAATGCAAAATCATATGATTATATATTATATAATATATTATATATAAACGTTAAATAATATGGTCGAGATCGGAGAATCTACGGGCGGAGGGTACTTTTCTAATCCCCACTCCGAAGTGTTATCGGGAGAATTTTTGTCTCCTTTCCCGTCTCCACGGAGAAAAAATCCCTAACTTCGAAGCTCCGAATAGATAATCTCCATAGTGATATCCGTTAACATATGCAAATTGACATCCCTATATATATATATATATATATATATATATATATATATATATATATATATATATATATATATATATATATATATATATATATATATATATATATATATATATATATATATATATATATATATATATATATATATATATATATATATATATATATATATATATATATATATATATATATATATATATAAAAGATAAATATATGATATTTTTATGTCTTTAATTATAAGATCTCATTTGAGAAAATAGGTGATACACTGACAGTGTAAAAAAATTTTACACTGTCAATCAATTACGACCATGAATCCAACTAAATCACTGTCATTTTTAAAAAATTTATATGATATGCCAAAATGATATGCTTATATGGGATGACAGTGTAAAACTTTTTTACACTGTCAATGCATCTCCTTTAAACGCATCTCATTTATCAAAACATAAAAAATATATTTTTTATGTTTAGTTTATTGACAAGTTGTATTATTTTATAAATTTTTCTTTCAAAACAAAAAATTTAATATATACTTAAATATATTTGAAAAAAGACATACTTTTTGAATTTTTTTTATTGTTGAATTTTTTATCAATTATAATTTTTAATCATTTCAATACACTCTATTTGTTGTAAATTTATGTAAATATATTTAGTAATCCGTTTATTGTATTGGCTTGGTGCAAATCTCTTTGTTTTTATGTCTAACTTTAATTATTTCAATACACTCTATTTGTTGTAAATTCATTATCGCCGAGTCTTCCAATGGTTACGACAGTGAGTTTTGCTGACAACACCGGAGCGAAGAATCTGTACATCATTTTGGTGAAGTGGATTAAGGGTAGACTTAATCGTCTTCCTTAATTTAACTTGCGTCGGAGACATGGTGATGGCCACCATGAAAAAGGGAAATCCAGATCTGAGGAAAAAGGTTTTGCCTGCTATTATCGTTGTCAACTTAATTCATGGCATCGAAAGGACGGTGTCTTCATGTACTTTCAAGATAATATTGGTGTCATTGTGAATCCTAAGGTAGAAATGAAAGGTTTTTCCATACGTGGTCCAATTGGTAAGAAGTGTGTTGATCTATGGCCAAGAATTACAAGTGCTGCCAATGTCATTCTATGAGTCATTCTGATTCAACAAGCATATGTTTTTGTTGTTTCTAGAGCTTAAAATTTAATTTTATGTCCGACATTAGCGATGTTTTCTCATTTATTTATTGCAAGTACATTTTTAAAGAAAAAATATATATAAATCATCTCCCATTACCTGCCAAAACCATAACCATTTTATACTTTGAGTTTAATTTCTAACTAGTAATTTTGATGATAAATTAAAACCATATAGTTTATGTCCAACACTAAAGTTTGGGTTGTTATTTGTAACGTTTTGTGAGTATCTTTAACATATTAAGAGAGAAGATAGACTTAAATACTAAAACAAGGTGTAATGTTAAAATCGCCAAGTGTTCAAGATTTTAAGTAAATATAAAATTAGTATAAAGTTAACAAGTTAAGGAGTGCAAATGCACCTAAGCACCACCTGTGTCCATCCCTAATCATTGCTTATGGTATTGATAGTTAATTGAACCTTCTTAAAAATAGTTTGACTCAATTCAATAATTAATTTATTGAATTTGGTTCATGTATTAAATAAGTTAAATTTGAGCTAAAAACTAAGCTTGTACAATAAGTTAATTGGACATGAGTTATATATATATATATATATATATATATATATATATATATATATATATATATATATATATATATATATATATATATATATATATATATATATATATATATATATATTTGAACTCGTTTGGTTCATA